GAGAAACTGAATAAACAGGAATTTTCTCGGTCCTGTCCAGCATGGCGAGGATGGTGAGGCTGGGGCAGGACCAGGCAGTCTTAGTTCTGCTAGACGGAGGGCCGTTGGGAGTCAGAGGCGACTCGACAGCACCCAACAACTAGAACATCCGGGGACTAAGTGTACAGGACAAGGCACCACCTAAAATCTGGGGAAACAGGGAACCCAGAGTCACAGCTCACATCTGTTCACCTGAACCAGAACAGCTGGAGCCATTAAATGCCAGAAACACTTAACGGCAGTTTTCACAAAGTGCTGGAGACTGAGTATTGACAGTGTGAGAATGAGAAACTCTTGAGGCTTCAGTCTTAGAAGATCTCCACACTTCTGTAGGTTGTACTTCCACATATGAAAATTCTAAGCAAGGAAAAGGAAATGCTAGGAAACAAACCCACTATAACAGCAATGAAGAATGTCTTTTCAGAGCTCATCAGTACACTGGACACAGTTGAGGAAACAATCAGTGAGCCTGAAGATAGGTCAGTAAATTTCTCAAACCAAAACAAAAAATGAAAAAAAGGGAAGGGTCGCAAGTCAGATCCGACTCTACGACAGACAGCCTGGTTTTGGTGTTTTTTTCCTCCCTAAACAGAACAAAACATATAAGGACTGTGGGAAAAATTTCACAAAGTATAATATGTACATGAAGGAGCTTGTGTTGGGCACAGTGGTTAAAACATTCAGCTGCAACCGAAAGATTGGTGGTTCAAATCTACCACCTGCTCCACGGGAGAAAGATGAGGCAATCGACTTCCATAAAGATTGACAACCTTGCAAACACTGTGAGGTAGCTCTATTGTGTCCTATAGGGCTGCCATTAGTCAGAACCAAGTTGAAGGCAGTAAGGGTTTTGGTTTGGTTTTAATATATGCACGACTGGTATACCAGGAGGAGAAGTGAGAACAGGATAGAAAAAATACCTGAAGTAATAATGGCTATGAACTTACCAAAGGTAATGACAGACACCAAAGCAGGAAGCTTGGAGAACATTAAGTAGAATCAGTATCACCTGACCACAACTGGCTAAATACTCAACTGTGGAAAACCAACAACAAAGAGGAAACCTTGACTGCAGCTCATGGAGCAAACTGACCTTCCTCACAGCAGAACAAGGACGTCAGAAACCATGCAAGTAAGGAGAGTGTTTAAAGAAGAAAACCAACACGGAACTGGGTAGCCAATGAAATTATTCTTCAGAAGTGTAGTAATATAACATAAAATAGCCTACTTTAGTTTTCTTAATCGATCTAACTCTGATTATTTTAAAGTAATATAATAGTATAGCACATGGATAAGAGAAAATAATGATAACACCTCAAGAGACAAGTGGGAGGACCTGGGAGCACCCCGTTATAAAGCACAAGCACTCCATGAGAAGGGGAATAACGTTACCTGAGAAGTTTAAAATACACAATGGAAACTCTAGAGCCATGACTAAAAACGTTTTTTAAAGTATAATTGATAAGCTAAGAGAGGAGATAAAATGTCATCATATAAAATGCTCAAATGAAATTAGAGAAGGCATAAAGGAAGCAGACCTAATAATAATAATAAAACAAAGGACAAGGACAACAAAAAAAGTTATATATATGGTAGACAGAAATCCAATCGTATCAGTAATAAAAAATGCAAATAGTCTGAACAAACCAATTAGAAGATGGAGACTATCAGAGTGGATGAAAAGAAGAATCCAAACACATACTGCCTACAAGAAAGCCACTTTACACATCAAGACCCTGAGAGATTCAAAGTCAATAGGTGGTGCATGGAGCAAAGTGTAACATGCCAACACTAACGCAAGGACATCTGGAGCAGCTATGTTAATTTCAAACAAAGCATATTTCAAAGCAAGGATAATTATCAGAGAGAAAAATGAGAATCCCATAATGATAAAGGAGAAAACGTAAAATGCTAACTGTGTACGCACCTAAGAGCACAGCATCAACGTACACGAAGCAAAAAGTGACAGAGTGGGAAAAGGAAAGAAACGGATCCAGCCACTACTGCAGCTGGAGACTTCAACACCCTGTCAGCAAGCGGCAGGCCAAGCAGCAGAAATCAGCAGCAACATGCTGACCTGACCCACACTTGATAGTGCATCTACTGGATCCAACAGACATTCAGAGAACGTTCCCCCGAACAACACAAGACACACTGTTCTCAGGCTCACGGAGCACTGTCCCTAACAGATCATATCCTAGGGCCCTAAGGTGCACCTTAACAGACTGATTGATTGATTGATATAAACTAACAAACAAACATATAAAAGAAATCATAGAAACTAAGTTCTCAGACCACAATGGGATTAAACTAGAAATAAGTAACAGACAGCTAGAAAAAGTCCCAAATATTTGGAAATTAAATTCCATGGAACTTCTTTTTTTTTTTTTCTCCCTATTAAGTCATTATTGTACTTTTCTCCTGGACCTATATTTAACTTTTAAGTCATTTCTATCTCAACATAGAATTAAAAGTATCAATGGCAGGAAGAAATCTGAAAACAGACAACCTTCAAAACATCTTGATTTCAAGAAAATTGTTTTTTCCTAGTACTCATTCTAAGCACTTTAGGTATTAAGTACGTGTCCTCAGTGGTCCAAGTATGAATTAAAAGAATGACAAACACTAGGTAGTCACGACGGGAAGGAGATAATTAGGGTTTCACCTAGAAGTCCCACAGAGCCCCCCGCAACGCAGAAACAGCTGCAGACACAGCCAGTCAGAAGCACCTGAAGGTACTTGGCTGCCTCCAGGCCCAGCACCCACCCTCCCCACCACCTCTGAACTGGCTTCAATCCGAAGCCTGTACTCAAAACGTTACAGCCACGATCCTCCTGTCCTCTGATATAACTGATGGTAAGTCTGTGGCATTCTGATACAGTGCATTCATTCTCCGCAAGGGCTTCCACCAATGCTCACGGGCTTGATAACGCATCATACCATCTGGTATAGATGCAGTCACACCATTCACCTAACCCATACTGACGGAAGTAACACCAACGAGCTACTGCAAGATCTGCTAAGTGGTCTGCCAATTAAATTTCACCTTCCACATAAAAACGTCACTCAGCTAACATGTCCTACATGAGTCATGAGTATTCTTAATGTTACTAGCACAGGGGTCAAAAAAAGGTTCACATTTCTAAATTCTCAAGTTTCAGTATCATCTCTTTCACGTGTCACTGGAGCCCCATGTCCGCCTTCCTGTGCATGAACTGTTCACATCTACCCACCGATTAACGTTTCACAAGTATAAAAGGAATAGAGACCAGATACAAACGCTGCTCCTGAAAACATGCTTCTCTCCTCTTTTTACCCACCCGGAGACTACTCTCATCTTCCTGAGAAAAGGACAAAAAACAAATGAAAACACTACTTGTTAAGTAAACTAGAGTCCCAATAGCCTATAAGAATATTCCAATTTAGTGGTTTATTTAAAGATTTTTAGGGAACAAATTCTTGAATAGTTTACACCAAGAACAAAGTGCAACGGAACAAGGCAGTTCCCAAAGGTTGGAAAACAGCGTTCTATCCAGGAAAGTAAGGCGCGGACAGCATCTTCATCTTCCACATTCAGCCGTGGGAAAACCACCCACAGGTTAGGCCGGCCGTAAAAGCAGTCCGGTTTAGGTACACACCCGAAACCTTCTATGAACAGACATCATACAAATGTTCAAAGTGAGCAATATTCAATCTGATAAAACTTAAATGTCAATCAGGAGGGTTACTCATTACTCAACATAAAGGAAAGTGACAGACTGATTATATTCTATTCTAAGCAAGTGGTTACTAATCTCCCATGTGGGTCTCTCTCATACAAACAATAAACCCCAAACATGGGCTACATACACTCTCACTGCGAACGTGAGCTCATGCTCAGTGCTGCTCCAGAGAGGAAAACGAGTGTGTAGCTTCCAATAACCCAAGCCACGCTATGCTCTGTCCTTCCTGCCCAGCTAAGAAGCCAAGTTACAGGTAATAAACCAGTGGAGTAATTACTGCTAACCTTGAAGCAAAATCACCGGTAGAAAGAAAAATGAAGACAGTCACAACTGATGGCAAGAATCAACAAAGGCCAGTTTCAAGTAGCTAGAGAAGCAGAGCTAAGGTACAAAACGCAATCAGCCTAAAAACTGGCCCACGCACGCACGAGCTTCTCTGAGAAGAGCACACACATCTAACGCCGTCTGCTAGAGCCTCCCTCCACTTCCTGGGAAGGCTTCGGCACCACTGGCTTCTGGCAGGCCCCCTGCCTGCCGGCTAGCGGCCTCTCAGCAGGCCGCACCGCACTACCATCTTCTCCTGCACTGCCTGAGAAGGGTCCACACAGGGTCAGGACCAAAGTTCTGCGAAACAAAATCAGCTACTGCCTTTCAAACTGAAGTAGAAATCAGCAGGCCGCTTCCCCCAGCACCACAATTTCAGAGGGGTCTGGACCGTTCCTGCTTTAAGCACGTGTGTTTCTACAAGCCTGTGGCTCTCCTCCTTGGCATGGACAATCACTCCATAGAACGTATAAAGCCTGGCCAGCGTGAGAGGCTTCGTCCTACATGGGAATAATTTTTCCCATCACTGTAGGAAAAGAGCCAGGCCACTGGGACCAGCAGCCGAGAGAACAGCAACAGTGCCCAGGTGGGCAGGAGCCACACGCATGAAGTATCCCTGAGCATAACCTATTACTACCAGCATCACCTGGGACACTCGTTCCATTCTAGTTAATTCTGAACAAATAAACCGTGACTTTCATTATTGCGTTCCGTGACTGGGTTTACACCCGTAAAGGCTGAATTCCAAGAGTTTAACAGATTATGGTAACAACAGAAAATCTCTGAAGACCCTCCTCTATTGAAAGCAAATGCTGCTCTGGGCAAGATGCCAACGTATAGATTTCTGCATTTTCAAGGATGTCCCTGTAAGGTCTAAGTGAGGGTGACGGTTAGGCCTTCTCTGATCCGACTTACCTTACTGTGCGTGAACGGGGGTGCAGCATACAAGGTGGGGTGGATAAGAGGGCGCGGCAGATGAGGGATGGTGTGCAAAGGTACGTGTCCATGGATGTGGGGGTACAGGTGAAGTGCAGGGTGTGTGGGCTTCTCAGGGCTCAGGAACTGGTGGCCGGGAGGGAAGGCGCCCGCCGTTGTTGCTGACGCCGTCAGTCCAGACGCTTCTTGTTTACAGACGTGACATTCACAAGTGTTCTGAGCTTGTTCAGCCTGAAAGGAAAAGAAAAGATAGTATCTGCTTAGGTCTGTACAGCTGACGCCATGTCCACAGAGCAAACAAAAGGTAACAGGGCTCCCCTTGGTCCCCAGTAGACCAGGTTCCTCCCTGACAGGAAAAACAAGGGGCTCCAAGAGACTGACGGGAGAAGCCTGCCAGGAAGAGATGCGCACCCGGGCTCCTGGCCTGTGTCTGCTGCTGGGGCAGCTTTAAGGATCTGTATCCTGAGCCCATTTGAGCAAGGAAAGTACTGGAAAGAAAGCAGAGAAAACCACCACCGTGAGATGGTTACGCTCCACTAGGAAACCACTGCTTCATCGACAGCCGCACAGAGACTCGTCCAAGGTACCAGGGAGGTAGGACTGCGACCTTAAGGTGGAGTCAAGGGTTTGGGGAACCCTCTCCCCCCACAACAAATATAAAACTAAACAGAATTATCCAGAACAACCATTTTGAGACTCTGAAAACCAACCAAAGACAACAAACAACCTGAGAAGCATTTATTCATGGAACTGTGCTAGAATTTCGAGTAAGGCCCAGAGGCGTCCGGTCCTCCTACCTGGAGATGGTCCCGTTCCTGGGGCCCTCCCAGTGTAGTCACCAGAAACAGCAGTTTCACCAGAGTGGGGTGCCTGCTGATGAGAGAGGGTGGGCTTGAATTCAGCAGAGAGCCAAATCTCACTGCAACATGGTCAAGAGGAGGGGTGCTGTAGCTGCTAGATGGGGGGGGGGGTCCTGGTGGGGGTGAAAGGGAGGCCAGAGAGAAGTCTAACACGAAGACCTTGAGAATCAGAGCCCAAGGGAAGGACTCCATAACTCTCCATCCACGACTGACTGACTAAGGGGCCAAAGCACATCTGTTGGGGACACTCAAGGGTCCAGCCAAAAACTAACACCAAGGCCGACCTGAGAACTGGCTGATTATTCAGTGCATTTCCCAGCCCACATGAATATGCTTGAGCGAAAACCAGAGATCTCATGGGCTCAGAGTGTGGGAACAAACCTCTGCCAAATCACTGGCTGATCAGTAAGACACGGGACAACCTAAAGGAAGCCAAGCGTCAAAACAAGAAAAAGCCTGAGCCCAGACATCAGCAGCTACACAGCTAGCGGAAATACAGACTCTTCGCTTTACGTCCTGTAAATAACAACAACAACAAAGACCCCTCCAAGGGGACCATCAGACAGAACACTTGCTCCATTATCAAAAATTTCAGTTTTCCACAACCACAAAAGATACAAAGGAACAGGAAAGTGTGACACACACACACACACACACAAAGAACCAAAATAGAAAGTCAGCAGAACCCAAGTGAGCCCAGACACTGCTTCAGCACACGAAGATTCAAAGCAGACACTATACACAAGGTCAAAGAATTAAAGGAAACTAGGATCACAGAATTAAAGGAAAATAGGACAAGATCCAACAGACAGGAAATATCCATGGAGCAAGTATAAACAGAACTAGGTATCAATACTAGAGGCGAGAAACACAAAAACCACAATGAAAACTTCACTAGGGGAACTCAAAGCAGATTCAAGAGGGCAGAGAAAGACGATGAACTTAAACACAGAGCAACAGAAATGATCCAATCTACAGAAAAAAAAAAGACGAAAGAAAACTGAACAGAGGCTCAGAGACCTCTGGGAGAGAATCAAGAGTACTAATATATTATGTGCAGAGACGCCCAAGAAGGAGAGAAATGGTGAGCGAAAGTGTAAGCCGAAAAAAGAGCTGAAAATGTCACCTTCCAAATTTGATTTAAAACATTAATCCAAGCAGCTCAATGAACTCTAAGGCAGATAAAGATATACACACCTAGACACATCAGGTGAACCTGCTGAAAGACAAAGACAAGATGCCAATACCAGCAACAGGAAAAGGACTCATCCTATCACAGAAACAGCTGAACAGTAACAGAAAACTGCTCATCAAAATCAGTGGAGACCAGAAGACAACAGAATGACACGCTCAAAATGCTGAAAGAAAAAAACAAAAAACGTCAACCAAGAATTCCAACTCCAACAAAACTATCCTTTAAAAATGAAGGCAAAATAAAGACTCTTACAGATAAAAATTGAGAGAATTCACTGACAGTGCACTGTCCCTATAAGATACATTTAAGGATGTCCTTCAGGCTGAAAGGGAATGACACCAGACTTGAATCAAAGGAAGACATGAAGAATTTCAGAAACGGTAAATAAACTACTAAATATCAAAGATTGCATAAATATTTGCTCTCTTCTTAGAAACCTATAAAAGTCTGTACATCATCATTGCTGTTGTTATGTGCCGTCAAGTCAGAACCCTCCTTGGGCTTCCAAGGCGGTATCACTACGGGAGTAGATTGCCCAATCTTCCTTCTGAGGAGCAGCTGGTGGGTTTGAACCACCAGCCTTCTGGGTAGCAGTTAAGTGCCTTAGGCACTGTGCTACCAGAGCTCCCAGTAAATCATCATAATGCTGTATTATTAGATTTATAATATAAACAAAGACAATATAAAGGGCAGTAACAATAAAACAAGTAAGGAAATGGAGCTATATTGGAGCAAAGTGTTTATATTCCATTGAAATTATGTCAGTATTAACTAGAAGTTGATTATGGTTAAGTTGTATATTGTAATCCTCAGAGTACAAAATAACTCAAAAAAAAACATAAAGAATGAACAGCAAAATTAAAATGATAGCCTAAAAAACTGTTTACAACAAAAGAAGGGAGTAAGAGAGGTAAAGAGGAACAAAAAACATGAAATGAGGAAAAGAAATAGCAAAATTAAAATGAAAATACCATCAATAAATAATTACATTAAACATAAAGGGAACAAGCAGTTTGAACAAAATAGATAGAGATAAAATTACGACCTAATTATTTTAGATTTTCAATGATCGACTATAGACTCAAAGATACAAACAGGTCTTAAGTAAAAGGATAAAAAATGACATAAATTAACTAAATGACAGCTGGAGTAGTGATAACACTGCTGTTGTTAGGTGTCATCGAGTCATTTCTGACTCACTGAAACGACCTCAGCAGAATGAAATACTGCCCAGTCCTGTGCCAGCCCCAAGACCTCTGCTGTACCTGAGCCTATTGTTGCAGCTACTGTGCCAACCCATCTCACTGAGGTCCTTTCCCTTTTTCACTGATCCTCCACTTTGCCAAGCATATTCTTCTCCAGGGGATGGTCCCTTCTGACAACATGACCAGAGGAAGTCTGGCCATTCTTGCTTCAAAGGAGCATTCCGGTTGTACTTCTTCTGGGACAGATTTGTTAGTTCTTTTAGCAGTCCACGGTCCTTTCAGCATTCTTTGCCAACACTCCAACTCAATTGCATTGACTCTTCTTGGGTCTTCCTTATTCATTGTCCAGCTCTCAGATGCTTATGAGGCAACTGAAAATACCATGGCTTGTGTCAAGCGCAGCTTAGTCTTCAAGGAAACATCTATGTTCTTCAGCACCTGAAAGAGGTCCTTGGTAGATTTGCCCAATGCTACAGGACATCTGGTATCTTCACTGTTGCTTCCCTTGGTGTTGACTGTACAACCAAATGATATAAAGTCTTTGACAACTTCAATCATTTCTCCATTTATCATGATGCTGCTTATTGGTCCCATTGGGAGGATTTTTGTTTTCCTTATAATTGAAGTGTAATCCATACGGCAGACTGTAGTCTTCAGTCTTCATCAGAAAGTGCTTTAAGTCATCCTCACTTTCAGTGAGCAAAGTTGTGTTATCTGCATAGTGTAGGTTGTTAATGAGTCTTCCTCCAATCTTGATGCCAAGTTCTTTTTCATGTAGTCCAGCTTCTGGGATTATTTATTCAGCAGACAGATTGAATAAATATGGTGAAAGGATACAACCCCGACACACTTCCTTCTTCATTTTAAACCATGCAGTGTCCCCTTGTTCTGTTTGAACAAAAGCCCCCTGATCTATGTACAAGTTCCTCATGAGTACAATTAAGTATTCTGGAATTCACATTCTTCTCAATGTTATCCATAATTTGTTATGATCCACACAACTAAATGCTTTGGCATAGTCAATAAAACATAAGTAAACATCTTTCTGGTATTCTTTGCTTTCAGCTAAGATCCATCTGACATCAGCAATGATATCCCTCGTTTCACATCCTCTTCTGAAACCAGTTTGCATTTTTGGAAGTTCTCTGTCAGTATACTGCTGTAACCATTTTTGAATTCTCTTCAGTAAGATTTTACTTGCATGCAGTATTAATGATATTGTTCAATAATTTTCACATTCTGTGGGATCACCATTCTTTGGAATGGGTAAAAACATGGATTTCCTCCAGTCAGTTGGCCAGGCAGTTGTCTTCCAAATCTCCTGGGATAGCCATGTGAGTGCCTTTAGCGCGGCATGCGTTTGTTGAAATGTATCAATGGGTAACCTGTCAATTCCTGGAGTCTTGTTTCTCGCCACTTCCCGTGGTGCAGCTTTGACTTCTTCCTTCAATACCACTGGTTCTTGATCGTATGCCACCTCCTGAAATGGATGAACATCAACCAATTCTTTTTGATACAATGACTCTGTGTATTTTTTCCATCTTCTTTTGATGTTTCCTGCAGCATTCAGTATTTTGCCCATAGAACCTTTCAATATTGCAACTTGAGGCTTAAATTTCCTCTTCAGTTCTTCCAGCTTGAGAAATGCCAAGCACGTTCTTCCCTTTTGGCTTTCTAACTCCATGTCTT